TACTTTAGTTCTTTTAATACTATATAGCATATTTTTGTCTGTTACAGGTAATCAATAAATCATTTTGCATAGTTCTTGATATTGGTATAGTAAGTAGGTTTTGTGACTTTAGAGAAGTTCTATGAGATATTATTAACAGGAATAGTTCGGCATAATAACCATACCGTGTCCGTAAACAACAATTTTTTTATAATTTTAATAAAAATCTTACCCATTGTGGTCATCAGCGGTATATTCGACCTTGCGGATAGAGCCATCAGGTTGGAGCAAAGAGTATTCGCCCTTTACGACGTCACCCTCACGGCTCTCATGGTGTGACTTGTGGTCGCCGGTGTGAGGGTCTTCTACGGAGTATGAGAATTCATACTTAGCCGGAACCTGCATTAACAAAAATATTAATTTTTTATTACTTTTATCTGTTTACAAATAGAGCCGTATATTAATTCTTTATCCTAGATGTCTGTTTTCACAATTGGTAATTCCCTAAACGAATAAACCTTTATTTTTAAGCTATTTAACAATTGGTTACTGAAAGATACAAAAATAGGTTTTCATTCCTTTAAACAAGAATAATTATATTTTAACTGACATTACAGAACACTAACATTTATAAAATACAAGCTTATGTTTGAAGTTAAAGAATTGACTGTGTCATCGATGTAAGCGAATGCATTCTACACTTCAATCTAAACTGTAACAATCTTAAGTGTTTAATTAAGAGGCGGTAAAAGTCTGTTAGGCTCGCGAGGCATTCCTTCATGGGATTTACCAAAGACCAGAGTCCCCTGAAATAGATCAATTTCTGCCACTTCTCCCGCTATCCGGTGAGGTAATAATCCGTTGTGGTTTCCACACAAAAAAACGATATTATAGAAAAAATCTTATAAAATCTATTATTCTATTAATCTTTTTATTCTATTTATTCTATCTTTATAAAATTATTAATTAGTCAGAGCCTGTTATTAATTTACAATATTAGAAATTTACCAACTTTTGAGGATTTTGCTATGTGTGTTTTAACGGATAGTTCAGGGGTGATAGCCGATAATAATAAATCCCTATTATATCTCTGGTCAGTGATTACAATTAATTCTTGTTGCAGAATTGGCAACAAGTTGTTGTTGAAATATGTGCATACTAATATACATATATTGATATTTACATTATTGCAGGGCATTGCTTCGTAAACATTGTTTTAATGATGTATTTGATAAATAGACTTTAATACCGACCACAAGCTAATAGATTGCTAACGTACATGTTACAAAACTATAGTCTGGTAATAACCAGAGCTTACACAATGAATCTACGTATAATTGGATCGTATTAACTGATCACATTTTTAATCACAATACACCTTTCACTTCCTTTGTAACTGCCGAGTTATTACTTCAATCATGTGGCATATTTAACAATGCTATTAATTTATTCGTTCGTGCCAAAAGTTTAGGATATGATGATTCTGCGGTTGTGGTATTAAAAATACCATGTACCTAAGTAATTTGGCACAAGTATAGCAAGACATCAGGCAATATCGGAGAAGTATTTTTCGCTTCTTTGTTCGAATGAAATCACGTTGTTAGGAGAATAACCTTTAATTTGCATAAGAAAACAGTTAGATTGCAGAACTTTATTAGTAGTGTTGTTTTTTCCCTGTGGATTAGTAGAGTCGTGCCAGTTTGTTAACGAGGCGAGAGTTGCAATTTCTCAAAAATAAGTTAAATGCAGAGATTACTTTCTAACAATTACCAATAAAGTGAAAGACAGACTTGACTATAGGAAAAATTGATTTCGTAAACGGTTTATGGTGACTGCTCTACTCCCAAGGGCCGTAACGCTGCCTTCTATATTTTCGTATGGGACTAGAAGTTTCAGAATTTAGCGCGTTTCAATAAACAAAATTCAAACAAAAATCTTTTCAACTTAGTATATACGTATTGATACCAAGCAGATTTAATGTTTAATTGGTTGGCTAGCTAATAATATGGCCTAGTGGTTTAAAACTGGCACCTTATTTAGAGAACTGTACGAGTATATAAAAAAAGACACGTTAACTCTTTAACATTATTGTATCGCCCTTTATGAATTAAATAACGGGTTAAGTAACGTCTTTGTTAAAAAGTGAAAACACTGGTCGTAAGTAGTGAGATCATCTGCACATTCAAGTTTTTTAAAAAGAAAATGAATGAAGACTTGTTTTTATGGAACTAAACTTTTTGAAGTTGCATTTGTTTATATCAAAAAAATATTAGAAAACTGACCCAGATTTCGAAATGTTTGGCGATACAATCAACATTATTTTCATTTTTTTCTACTTATATTTTAATTCTCTCCCTAAATTGGCTCAAATATCGTTGTTGTTGTACGGAACCCTCGGTGGGCGAGTCCGATTCGCACTTGTTAGGTTTTATTTTGTTAATGCGTCTATACAACTCTATTCAACTATATCGATACTAAATCTATATTAAAACAAAAAAAAGACAAGAAAGTAAGAACAGGTGCTGTACAAATCAGATATTTAAAATAAAAATATTTTTAAATTCTGTAATAACAACAAATAGTTTGATAATATAAGGATATAATACAATTTTTATTTGACATAACCGTTTTTTTGCCTATTTGTATGTTTATACTCATATGTAGAAGCCATTTCTTGCTAGTATTACTGTGCAACTACAAAAGTTTAATTTATTTAAAAACTTTTTAAAGATATCACTGTACCCTCTGTTGATATGGTAACATAAATAGTAGAAAGTGTATGCTAGCGCCATCTAGTGGTAATTGGTAGTGAAGCAAGTTAATAAATCTCTCTCTATTGAAAACCCCGAAGCGTGTTTTATTAGGTTATGGGCCCAGACCATCTAAAAAATAAAATTTACAATTAATAAAGTGTTAAGTACTGTTATTGTGCAATAATAATGACGGCGAACTATATAGCTAACGTACCTAAGTTGCGAGGTCGTGAAAATTATGGGGATTGGTGCTTCGCGGCAAGAAATCTTTTGGTGTTAGAAAACATGGCGTCATCAATTGAACAAAAATTACCAGCAGCAGCAACTACAGCAGAAAAAGCAGAAGACGCTAAAGCGAAGGCCAAGCTTATATTAACCATCGATTGTTCCCTTTATGCTCACATAAAGCAAGCCACGACAACTTATGATTTGTGGGATAAGTTAAAAACCATGTTCGATGATTCTGGCTATACAAGAAAGATAGGTTTGCTCAGAAATCTCATCAGTATTCGTCTTGAAAACTGTGACACTATGACGCAGTATGTGACCCAGATAATTGAAACAGGGCAGCGACTTCAAGGAACAGGTTTCAAGTTAACAGACGAATGGATTGGTGCTTTAATGTTAGCAGGATTGCCTGAAAGGTACGCGCCAATGTTAATGGCGATTGAACACTCGGGCATCGAGATAAGTGCCGATGTTATCAAGACAAAGTTGATGGACATGTGTGCTGAGGTTAGTCCAGTTTCAGGTTCGGAAAGTGCATTTGCAGCCAAAGGGACGCATCGTGCAAAAAGTGGCAACTCCAAAAGCGGCCACATACAGTTGCAAGAAACGTCAAAGCCGGTAAAGGTTATAAAATGTTACAAATGCAAACGGATTGGACACTATAAAAATCAGTGCCCCAACTCAGAATCGGGTAAAAGAAAACAAACAAATGCTTTCAGTGCTATTTTCCTGACTGGGAAATTCAATCATAACGACTGGTATATTGATAGTGGGGCAAGTAAACACATGACAGCAAGACAAGAAAATATCGTGAATAAGTCCCATCAACATGACAGGAAAGAAATTATTATTGCAAATCAAACAAGTGTTCCAGTTCTGTGTTCTGGTGATGTCAACATTATTTCAGTTGTGAATGGTGTGGAATATGATGTCACAGTTACAGATGTGTTGTGCATACCGAATTTAACAACAAACTTGCTTTCGGTGAGTCAGTTGATCGATAATGGAAACAGTGTGATTTTTAAGAAAAATGCTTGCTTCATTTACAATCAACAGAAAGAACTAGTTGGCGAGGCAGAATTAGTTGAAGGTGTGTACAGGCTATACACAAAAACAGAACAAATATTATCAGTAACTGCTATAGCATCGAGTGAGTTTTGGCACCGACGCTTGGGACATATAAACAGTACTAGTCTAACAAAAATGAAAAATGGAGCTGTGGAAGGAATTTCATATCCAGAAGTGTCAAACATAAGCAAGGCATCATGTACTATTTGCTGTGAAGGCAAGCAAGCTAGGCTGCCGTTTCAGCAGAGTTTGTCTAAATCCGAGAATGTCTTAGAAGTGATTCACGCAGATGTATGTGGTCCTATGGAAAGCCAATCAATCGGAGGATCTAGATACTATGTTTTATTCGTGGATGACTACAGCAAAATGGTATTTGTATATTTTATGAAGACAAAGAATAATGTATTTAACCATTTCAAGGGTTTTCAATCTATGGTTGAAAAACAGAAAGACAGAAAGATTAAAATTCTTAGGACAGATAATGGAGGTGAATTCTGTAGTCTCGAATTTGAAAAGTATCTGAAGGAGCAAGGGATAGTTCATCAAAAAACTAATGCTTATACACCGCAACAGAATGGCCTGTGCGAGCGTATGAACAGATCAATTGTAGAAAAGGCCAGGTGTTTGATCTTCGACGCTGGGCTAGATAAAAAATTCTAGGCTGAAGCGGTTAATACTTCGGTATACTTAAGAAATAGATCTGTCGTTACAGGACTGGATAACAGGACACCTTATGAAGTCTGGACAGGGTTTAAACCGAATGTAAGTCATTTACGTATATTTGGCAGTCCAGTCATGGTGTATGTGCCCAAGGAGAAACGTTTGAAATGGGACAAAAAGGCAAGTAAGCTTATTTTTATGGGCTATTCTGAAAATGTAAAGGGCTATAGGGTTTATAACCCTGAAACCAATTCTATTAGTACAAGTAGAGATGTAATTGTCATGGAGAAGCCTGTTAAGAGTTCAGTGGAGATGTTAGTGGAATGTAAGTCTTCAGCGGAGGAAGGATGCACCAATGATTCCGAGAATACTGACAGTGAAACTTCAGACTCAGAAAGGTTAGATACACAAAAAGAAAACTTGGACAGTACATATGTGGAGGGTACTACTTTAGGGAGTACTACTTCAGATGAAGATTTTTCTAATGCTACTTCAGATCCAGATATTACTCTGGAGGTGCCAGGAACTTCAGACACTCAATCAAAACGAGTTAGAAGGAAACCTGACAGATTTGGTTACAATAATATATGTATTACACAGTGTGTTGATGATAAAGAGATAACCCTAGAGGAAGCTTTAAATGGACCTGAGAGTAAGTTTTGGCGGGCAAGTATGAAGGAAGAGTTAGATTCGTTTGATGAGAATGATGCGTGGGAGCTTGTTGATCATCCTCAAGATTGTACAGTAGTGCAGTGTAAGTGGATTTTTAAGAAGAAATTTGACAGTTCTAATAATGTGCGTTACCGGGCAAGATTAGTTGCAAAAGGGTTTAATCAGAAAGCTGGTGTAGATTTTCATGAAACATTTTCGCCAGTTGTAAGATATTCCACCTTAAGATTACTTTTTGCTCTGGCCGCTAAGTTAAACTTAGACATAAGTCATTTAGATGTCACCACTGCTTTTTTAAATGGTTTTTTGAAAGAAACAGTGTATATGAAAAAACCTGTTACTTATAAAACCTGTACTGATGATGATAACAAAGTGTTAAAATTAAAGCGTGCCATTTATGGTCTCAAACAGTCTTCCAGGGCTTGGTATCAGAGAGTTAACGATTACTTGTTAAATTTGGGTTATAAAAAGTCAAAGTATGAACCATGTTTGTTTACTAAATTTGAAGGAAAAGTCAAAGTTATGGTAGCACTATTTGTTGATGATTTTTTTGTGTTTTCCAATAGTGTGACATCCACTGATCAACTAATGTATGAACTAAGCTGTAAATTTAAGATCAAAAACTTAGGTCAATTGAAACAATGTTTAGGCTTAAGAGTTAATATCAATGAAAGTATAATAACAGTTGATCAATCACAATATGTTGATAATTTACTTAAAAGATTTAACATGTTACATTGCAAAACAGCAGAAACTCCTATGGAGACAAATTTAAAATTGGAGAAGTCCTTAAATGTTAATAAAGATTATCCATTTAGAGAGTTAATAGGCAGTCTAATGTATTTAGCCGTCCTAACTAGGCCAGATATAGCTTACAGTGTAACTTTTCTTAGCCAGTTTAATAATTCTTATGATAAGGTTCACTGGAAGCATGCTAAAAGGGTAGTAAGGTATTTAAAGAAAACTAAGAGCTATGGACTTGTGTTTTGTAAAGATAATTCTCATATTGAAGGTTTTGTAGATGCAGACTGGGGTTCAGATGTAAATGATAGAAGGTCTTTTTCTGGATTCTGCTTTAAACTGTCAAATACAGTTATTTCTTTTGAATGTAGAAAACAAAGACATGTAGCTTTATCTTCAACAGAAGCTGAGTACATTTCTATGTCAGAAGCTAGTAAGGAAGCAATGTATTTAAAAAATTTACTAAGTGAAATTGTTGGTAGTTCAGAACCAATTGTTATTTTTAATGATAGTCAGAGTGCGCAGAGATTAGTTTCCAATCCAGTTTTTCATCGCAGGTCCAAACACATAGATATAAGATATCATTTCATCAGAGAGGCATTAAATAATAATTTTATTAAGATATCTTATTTGGAAACAGCTGAAATGCCAGCAGATATTTTGACCAAAGGTTTAGGGTCTGCCAAACATTACTATTTTATGAAAAAGCTTGGTATTGTACCTATTTCATATTAATTCCGAAGTACCTACTCTGTATTATTTTTGTTAAGCGGAGGTGTTGATATGGTAACATAAATAGTAGAAAGTGTATGCTAGCGCCATCTAGTGGTAATTGGTAGTGAAGCAAGTTAATAAATCTCTCTCTATTGAAAACCCCGAAGCGTGTTTTATTACCCTCCACACAGTCAGGTTTAGAGCGACGGCGTTACAGAATGTATTTATAACGAATTTTGCCTACATTAATTAAGAGCTTTCTTCTACTGACGACTCTAATTTATATGTTGCACTCTATCTAGAATAAATTAAATTTGGTAAGTGTACCAACAAAGTCGTTAACAATGTTTACTATCTAAACAAGCTCTAGCTACACTTGATCGAGTTCTGCATATAACGTTGCATCATTATATTAGGCTGTACTCACATGTTCCTCGACGTGCTCTGACGCGATGTGCTGGACAACGGGCGCATGGTGAATAGTTGCAGGAGCCACGTGTTGGATCAAAGGAGCGGCGTGAAGTACGGGACCACTGTGTTGGAGGTATGCTTGCTCGTAGACTGGCGCAGCATGTTGTAATACGGGACCCGAATGCTCAATCACAGGAGAAAAGTGATGAGTAGTTTGGTGGGTCGGCTCATTGTGGCGGACAATGCTTTGAGATGAAACTGCTTGACCATGTCCTTCTTCTATACCAGCTTGGCACAAAGCCAGCAATGCACTGAAAGCTAATACCTGAAAATTCCAAATTTTAAATATATACGAATATGATTTTTTTATGTCAAATCACTCAGTAAATTATTATTCTTACTTTAAAGTACATGTTGATGTGTTTTACTGAGCTGTAGGACTCGTTTGGTAATGATGGTCGCAGGGTTGGTGGTTTTATAGTTGGGAGGAAGCAACGCCGGCGCAAGTCACCCGATACGTAAAACCGGCCCGACATATGACACCGACACATGATCACCTTTACACTTTACCTTACGTCATTGCAATGACTCTTTTTCAGTTATATTCAAGGTTATCATAAAGCTCATTTCATACTGTTACTATTCTCAGAATTGAAAATGAATTTTAATATTGAAAATATTGTCATTTTATTATTATTTAATAATTAAGATCTGAAGAATTGAATATTATTTTATGTAACGTAAATCTTTTCTTTTATGGAGTGCCGGTTCGAAAAGTTTATATCTCTCTATGTATCCAGGTGGATAGAGGACTACTGTGGACGCCCTCTGCCCCATCTCGGGGACATAGGATATTAAGTCAAGTAAGTCATGTATCGAGGTAAAAGTTCCTCTGTTATAGAATAGCGAGCAACGAATGCGTGGTAGATAAAGGTAGATAGAAATCTCAGAAGCTAATAATGCTCGTTTAAAAAATAGTTTTGAAACGAAGTTCATTATCGCGCGTTGTGAAAGGGTGCTAGACGGAAAAAAATCTCACGAAAAGTTGTAACGAGACTTTTTATGTCAGTCATTCAGCGCCATCTATCGAATAGATAGGAAATCATTACTTTTCATCTCAGTGTTTATTTTGAATTGTCACTTGTCAGTCATTCAGCGCCATCTATCGAATAGATAGGAAATCATTTCTCAAGGAGATTTTACCAATGTATAAATTGTTTTAATTAGAAACCAACTGAAAAATATGTAGGTAATAACCGCTTTCATAGATGGCGTTGTAATTAAAATCGTGTCGAATCAGTTTTACTCGATCGTCACAACTTCGTTCCTATCGGGTGTCCCACGACACCACACGGCTTTTTTTTTATGTAAGAGGGGCACACGACAGACGGGTCACATGATGGAAGGTGACTATCACCGCCCATGAACGTCTGCAACTCAGGAGTCACAAACGCGTTCCCGGCCTTTTAGGAAGGAGTACGCTCTTTTCTTGAAGGTTTGAAGGTTGTATTAGTCCGGAAATACCGCAGACGACAACCCGTTCCATAGATTGGTTGTGCGGGGCAATAAGTATTATGAAAAGCGCACAGTAGTGGAGCGCAAGTAGTTGTGTTTAATAATAACTTAAATATGCCTTAAACGAAAGTAACAATTTTTATATTCTACTTACATAACAAAAAAATACACCAAATTCTACAAGAACTTATTATTTATTTTTGTTACGTTACTTTCAATAATTTATGTTTTATTTACATAACAAAAAAAAAACTATATTTTCTACAATTTCTAATTTCCTCAAATTATAAAAGTTAGTGTTACCCCTCCACGTGCTGGTGTTGGTGAATACACTCCGTTTTTCTATAAAAGTAATGTTGAGCTCTCGGAGAGTAATCGTAAGTTTTGTTTTCTCATGCAACGTCCGAGCTCGTCTCAAGTATGCTCGATCAGGTTGAGATCCTGGCGGCACGCTGGCCACTTCATATAATTATATTTACCTCTTGAAGATATTCACAATCCGATGCGGCGTGTATTTCATACTAATTACTCAATAATATATTTGGGGTCTACCAATAAGAACGTCCTGGTTAAAAAATTGAATAAAACACACCATTTTTTATGAAAAATGCATCCGATTGATTTATTTGATAGATAATTTTATGCAATTTATGTTTTAAATAATATATCGGCCAAATGACCGCCGCGGCTCTTTTTGCTGACGGTCACCCGCTCACGCCAATTTTCGATGACGCGGTGCACCATTTCGGCCGGTATGTCGTCTGCTGGCAAAAACTAGTGTTTATATATTTTTTAATTTTAATAATATAAATAGTAATGGACGTATACAGTTGTATAGAAATGTTTAAACTTTTATGTATATAAATATTTAAAAACAATCAAAGACATATTAACAGTACCAGTACAAATTAGAACGTACCTACGTGTATACATACACACTATTAATACAAATGCTATTATTATTTAAATTATTAATATTTAAATTTATTCAAGAAATAAAGTCTTACCTGACCAGTGTGAATAAGTCCGAAGCCTAGCAGTTGGTAAGAAAGTAGCTCTCTGGGTTGCACCGACTGATCCAGTAAACTCTTACGCAACTGTGGGCTAGCGACACACTTAGTGTAAATTCATAAATGTTTGACATAATGAACAATTTATATTTTAATTTTTCAATTTATTTTTTGTCGTAGAAACACAAAATATATCAATTACTTAATCTGTGGAACAAATAGTTACTTACAAATTTAAAAAATACCTTCGAATTTCCAGAATGTATGTAACAATTCAATAAAAATACAGAATTTAGTGCTGCATATTTTTTACTTGGAATTAGTTCAATACTTATTGGGTACTTTTAGTTCAGTTAAAGCCCTCAAAATTTAGCAAAGATAAAAAAAAAAGTTTTACAATTAAATAGTGATATAATTTTATTTCGTCGTAGTATTGTAGAGCCCATACATTCATCTTCTAAAGCACATGACTATTTCATTTTGATAATTAAAGTAAAGACCGTGGTTTAATAAAATGTTCAAGTAACATATTATTATGTCCTTTATGCATAGTAATCAGTAGGCTTTTATTATTTGAAGTTTAACTTAAAAGCTTTTAACCTTATTAAAATGTACTCAGTGTAGCCCCACCACGAATATAGTACGGCTGCGTGAGCGCTCCGCATATTTTCCTCCATCGCCTCGCGTTACGAACGTGGACTTCGCGATAACTTTAACTAACAGCTTTCTGTGAAGGTCACAGGCCTCGTTTCTCATGCCGATCACTTTAATGAAATCTTTAAACCATTCATAATTTATGGTGATTGTTATTTCGGTGGGTAAATTTATAACGTGACACAACTTCGACGCTGTTAAAGAGATAGCCACTTCCATATTAACGATGTGTTGTTGTGTAATAATATTCCGGTTACGCATCGCTTAACTATTATCGGATATTAATTGCGATGAATGAATCTCTACCATGGTATGATTAATGATTTTAATAGCAAAGCCTTGCATTTTCGATAAGTTTTTCTCTCAATGACACGTAATGTTCACCAAACGCGGAGCTTTCTCGTTTTTTATTAACACCTTTAAGTTGTATGGAACTAAATTCTTCTTGTAAAGTATGTAATTCAAGCAGACATAAATTTTAAAAACAAAAAGCAACAAGATAAATCTAGTTTGATGAGTGTACTGACCTTGCAGTAAGAACCATGACGGAATCATATCAATACTATTGTGCTAGTAGAGGACCGGATGGCGTAGTGGTTTGTGTAAGGGACTGCTATTCCAAAGGTCGCGGGTTCGATTCCCGCTCAAGTCAAACATTTGTGTGCATGAACATTTAATGTTTGCTTTGGTTTGGGTGTTTCTATCTATTATATGTATGTTTTTACAAATAAAAAGTATATTTAGTACCCATAGTATAAGCTCTGCTTAGTTTGAAACTAGATGGCGTTATGTGAATGTGGTAGAATATTACTAACATAACATTGATTTCAATGTCACTGTTACTTTTTTAATAACTGTACTTTAACGATTTAATTGCAAGGTGACTTATTTCTGGATAAAGTTTCCGCAAAAACCGGAATAGTATTCATTAAATAAATCAATATAAAATTTCGTATGCATTCGATGGCTGCATAAACCTCTAAAATAAAAATGTCTCGCTGCGCATCGAATGAGCTTTGTAAAAAGGTTGTCCTTATGAAAGTAATATCAATCAAGATCAAAATAAAATGAATAACATTAATCGATCTGCAAGTACATTTTGAGGATTGCCACATGGATTTTATAAGATTGCATAAAATTCCACACAGTACAATTAATTACTCAGACATACATCTCAATAGCCTGAAATAAAACAGCGATTGCTAAAAAGTTAGGAATACTATTGACATAGTTTTTTCTAATTTGCGCTTGTCACTGTGTGTGTCTTTGTGCGGCGGTAGTGATTTATCATCAGATGACCCATCTGGTCGCTTAACCTCTATACCATAAAAAAAGAAGTTTCTTTTTTCAAGAATTGTAGAATTAATATCACCCCACATTCCATCTGAAAATTTCAGAAGCGCAAATTCGGTTCTTTATTTCCTGACAATCAATGATATTTGTTACACAATTCATGAAAAAATGTGGAGAACTACAGAAGTACCGCTGTAAAGATAATAAAACATCAACATAAACATACGTAACTCACGAATGTTACTGCAACAGAGTAAAATTGATGACTTAAATTTACAACTGATGACATTTAACTTTCCTCAGTTTTGCCTTATAAGTCTTAGCAGATTTTACTGTAGTTGTCCTGGTCAGTTGCATTGCTTCATCATTCAATATAGGAACGTATATAATCGCACACTCACTTATCTTTTATATAAACTTTTTTGTTTTTGAGTAATTTCATATTCAAAATTTGCTAACAATGATTTCTTGAAACATTTACGCTTCGTCGCATTTCTGTCACATTATAATACGCAATAAATCTTCGTATATATTGAATTCAAAGTCGTTACGTAGCCAGGTAATATCTCTGTGATCTCAATTGCTAAATGTTTGAATATTAAATAACTATTATAGGCTCAACAGTAGCCTGTCTGGTAGTAAGTTATGCTGGTAAAGTTGCAGTATTTTGCTTTCACTCCTCATTTCGGATCGGACATTGTATGGTAATGTTATGATATGCAATTTGGATGAGATCTCATATCTTCTCACGGTCGACTGGACTTGTTACAACAATTATCACTTTCAGGCAAACGCATGCACTATCGCAATGTGTTTCGCCTATACGTTTACCATTGTTCTAATTGTTATTTCATATTGCGTTTACATTGAGCAATTGAAAATTTTGAACAAAATCTTCGATCCCATTTTTCTATCGTAGGAGCGTAACCATCCGGTTCCACTATCTATATGATAGTACCTACTATCATATAGATTTATTTATTATATCATATTTATATTTACATTTATATATCATTCCTTAATTAAATTTTATCTAGAATTAAATATCATATGGAAAGGCTTTACAGATTACGTTTGCAAACTTTAGTATGTGTTGTCATACGAACTTAAAAATGACAATATTTCGTACACATTTCCAATTGTTTCATTTCTTTAATTACATTTATTTATTTTATTTGATGAGCTTCTACTGTACGTTTCATCGTCATCCGTAGTAGTATCGTTAGAATAATCAAAACATCATCATCATGAATAGCCTCTAACAGTCACCTACTCACATATAATAGGGGTTAAAGTATGAAATTGCCGTTGTACAGTAATGGATACTTTGAATTGATATAAAACTTTCATGGTGTGAGATTTTCGTGTGAAACTTTTTTTACATGATACCTATGAGGTTCTTCTTTTAAAAATTTTATTCAGCTTAGACGCGAAAGATGGATACTTCGAAAAGCCGAGTCATTTTTGAATACGAGTTCCGACGCGGAAGTGACGCGGTAGAAGCGATAACACAATATCAACGCTGCGTTTCGAGAGGAGACTGCTAATGAACGCACCCTACGTTTTTGGTCTAGAACGCATAATTTTGTAAGTCATAATCATCTTCAGGGCTAAACTTTATATCCATAATAATTAAAAAGCAGAACGATCATATCGCCGAAAGTTCATAGACAGAATCGTCGTTGAGCATAAATTTTATATCGATAGTCATTAAAAGGCAAAACTATCATATCTCGGGAAGTTTACAGTGAGATTCATCTTTTGGCATACATTTCATATCTTTTTTATTATTTTTTATTTTTTTATGTTAGAGGGGGCAGACGAGCAGACGGGTCACCTGATGGAAAGTGACCATCGCCGCCCATGAACGTCTGCAACGCAGGAGTCACAAACGCGTTGCCGGTCCTTTAGGCAGGAGTACACTCTTTTCCTGAAGGTTTAAAGGTCGTATCGGTGCGGAAATACCGCAGACGATAACCCGTTCCACAGATTGGTTGTGCGGGGCAAGAAGTGTCTCGAAAAGCGAACAGTAGTGGAGCGCCAACTATCCAGGCAATGAGGATGAAAATTCCTCGAAATACTCCTCTCCATGATATATGCGATAGAGAATGCAGAGTGAAGCCACATCTCTACGTAACGCCGATCGTTCGAGCCGATCGGAGATGTTTGGACTATCGACGATTCAAGTCGCTCTTCGTTGGATGCGGTCCAGAGGGAGAAGCTGGTACTGAGGTGCCCCTGCATAGAGATGAGAACAGTATTCCATATGCGGCCGCACTTGCGCCTAATAGAGCTGAAGGCGGTGGGCCGGAGTGAAATACTGCCCCGATCTGATCAGGACACCGAGCTTCTTCGAGGCCAATTTGACCTTACCCTCTAAGTGAAAATCCCCAAAATCTATAATAATTGAAAGACTATCAATCCATCATTTTGTATTTCTCACCATAATAATAAAACCAGCAAGTATGCAGCATGCAGCATATCTGTCACGGCGGCAAGTGTTGAAACCACCTCGTCCGCAGCCCACGGGCTAGCGCAGACAAGACTACGTGGAGACGGTTTTGCAGCGATTCGCTTGTCACAAACTTTTGTAGCAAGACATTATGACTTTTTAAGATATTAATTTAACTTAACGATAAAAATGCTACTTTAAGGCAATATGCCTATTAAAATTATTCCAAATGAAATTCGGCCCACAAAATAATTATACAAAATATTTTTTTTGCCTTAAAATTATTCGTTTAAAAAAGATTCTGTCGAAAAAAAAAAAAAAAATTTCAGGGCATCAAGACTGCCAGATAGAGGGAACCCTCAAATATAAAGCTATAATTGAATTAACTAATGTTTAATTGCTTTATAATAACATATTTGTACTAAAAGTAAAATTATATAAGCATCTTGGAGATAATTGGAACACAGTTAATACTTCAAATAAATGAATTGGTATCGACGATTGCACGTGAACAGACGTTTACCCCTCTTTCTTTTATGAATTAAACTATATATAAAAAATATAAACCTCAATTGCAACACAAAACAAAGCAAGTTGTGTATATAAAATATAAATGGATTAGTTCATAATCATAAACGTTAGAAAATGTAGAGCAGGCGATGGCAAGATAAAAAATTAAGTAGGTGTTTAAACTCGTGTTTTATCTAACGAAATTTGTATTATAATAAATGGTTTGTTTATTCGTTTTTCGTAACTAGTGAGTATGTAATATAATGGGGTTTTATTTTTATTTAAAAAAAATATATTTTCTAAGCGTTTTTGTACAGTGATACTTTTCTGTTCCCTGTTTCTAATTTCAATAAAATTTAAGAATGCTCTATATCTTTGTTTATTAACTTCCTTAAAACTTTGTTTATAAACCAGTTTTTACGGCATAGACCTAGTTACGATGTATTGAAAAAAGTACATTGCAATTGACGGGCTTGTTAGTCTAGGGTTAGTGACCCTGATTGCTACCCCGGAGGTTGTGGGTTCGATTCCTACCCAGGACAAATATTGTGTTATGATCACGATAATTTTCTTCTGTGTCTGGGTATTATTTATCTCTAATATGTATGTATTTAGATATATACAAGTATGTTTATCAGTATTCTGGTTACCATAGCACAGGCTCTGCGTAGTTTGGAATCAGACGGCCGTATGAGATGTGTAAAGTTATCATTATTGTCGCCTTGTGACTGTTCTACAAAAGCTGGGCCGCGCCGCCCCTGTGTGCAAAGTGTGCGGCGCACACAGGCGCTAAGACGATAGGAGCGCCGCAATCGAAATTATTTTTGTTGCACTTAGACAACAACATATTCTTTGTAGTTGAGTTTCAATAAGTAAGTACAATAGGCGCAACATATGCACAAAATAGTATAAAACTGGTATTATAACACTTAATTTATGCACTTTAGTTATGCATACGTTTACAAAAAACTAAAAAGATTGTCTACCGGTAGAGAAAGTAGGTATTTACACGATTTACTTAAAACATATGAATTTGCTTCATAGACTTCATTACTTCCTTCATCTTCATTTTCTATGACAGAGTAACTATGATCGTGGATAATGTTATTTTCAAATAATAATAATATTTTTATGGTTTGCATTATTAACCTATTCATAATTTTATGATACGAAACCCAAAGTATTATGCTCACAAGAATATCGCTAGAATTGTAATGTGAAACAATTTTTATTCCAAAATTTGTGTATTTTGCAGGAATTTTAATCTCTGTCCCTTCTCTGACTTAAAATTTAAACTATTTCTGAGTAAAAAATCAATGTAATGCGTGGCTCTGTGCATCAATTTCATTTTTTTTTCAATTCAATTCAATTCAATTTCAATTTTCTGGAGTTAGTACACTTAATATTTACACTTGACCTGAATTATTTATTTAGTCAATTAGTCCATATTTTAGAATTGGATGCTTTTTGTCACAAACTAAGATTCTTAATTGTCCTATTCATCTTGGGCCTTGGCAAACTATGCAAAAGGCAAAAGATAGAGGTCCGAATTTATAAGGTTTGAGGAAATTTAGTTTATCTGGGTTATAAAGGTTAAATACTGTATTTAAAGTCTGAATCTTCCTAAAAGTCCCTTAGAATTTTGATGTTCCGTGAATAAGTGAGTGACCATCTTAAGGAACTTTGACTTGCTACAGTTTTAAGGCAGAGGTTCAATTCGAATTTTCACATTTCTAAAACAATCATAAAACACAGGTTATCAATTTTCGTTTCTTTTTATTGAAAGAGGCTAAGCTATATACATTTATTGCCCGCTCCAGGTAAAAAGACGTCACAAACATTAACAACACATACTTTGATTAATATATAGAACTATGACATGGCATTTGTGACTCGTATTCACACAATTTATATACAAGAAAATACATCACACTTATATGGCTAAAATCTAGTATTTTCAAAGAGGGTTTATTGCGCTCTCTAAGGGACTACGTATCATTAATGAGAACAGATGAAAGGCTACACATCAATCACTTTTAAACACATTAACACTAATATCACAGAACGGAGATATATTTTTCTAATGGTTGTGAATTACTGGCGGGGAGTTGTGCACGACAGCGTTGAAACTGTTGACAAATAATAAGAAGTTATAACAAAATATATGAAATGAAATTGACGGTAGAATAGTAACGTATGTTTATTTTACTTACCCACTGTGGTGGTCCGCGGTATAAGTGACCTTGCGGAAAGAACCATCAGGCTGCAAAAAAGAGTATTCACCCTTCACAACATCACCGTCACGTTCTTCGTGCTGGGACTTGTGGTCACCTGTATGAGGGTCTTCAACGGAGTATGAGTAGCCGTATTTAGGGTAGGCCTGGAATGTTTTTATAAAAATGTTTTTTATAATTTATTCTTAAGAAACGTATGATAGACTGCCTAACCTATTTAAGTAAATCTTTAACGTTATCGGTTTTAAAATATAGTCATATTTTAGGATTTTGATGGCTAAAGTAATAGAATTTAACATACAACTTGAACTACACAGTTGTATTTTACCAGTATGTGGGTTATTGGCTATTCCTCTGTTAGTGAAACTTGGAGTGATGGCAAGTACTTACATATTCATCGACATAGTGGTCTTCATGGGCAGGTTCATCGTGGATCGCGGGCGCCTCGTAACTTTGGGAAGGGGTGAAGTGATCGGGAGCCGAATAGTGGATGGGAGCCTCATGATAATGAAGAAAACCAGCCTGGCACAACGCTACTAGAGCACACGCGATCACGATCTGGAAGATTATAATTAAATTACATATTAGTGTGTAATTGTGTTTATATCAAAATAATACAATCCATCTAGTATTTTAGATTGGACTAATAACATTACGATAAGAAAACTTTCGCTTTTTTCAGTACAGTTAAGCTCAAAACGGGTAATCGACAAAGTGATTACAAATTGCGTCAAATAAGATTATCCTAAATGTTACATAAGTATCACTGTTAACTATTTGAAATGAACTAAAGCTTACTTTGGAGAACATTTTGCTTTAGAGACAAATGCTTGCACTGAATTCGGTATGATAGTGCTGTCTTTTTATATAACAAACAAAATATAAGCGGTAGTGTGGAGGGGACTATTCCCGACAATATTCATTCAGATCACTGTAATTGAAGTGTTGCTAATCTGTTCACTTTATCAGGTGTCGCAAGTCTCGATATCGCTTAAATTGTAATTATTATTTTTTACAATTGATGCTTTCACTCAAATATTAGTTTTAAATATTATATGGAAATGTATTTTGATCATGACTAAAAAAATCTAAGAAAGATTTACTTTGGCATTATTCGACACTGTATGTGTTCTAGTTTAAAATAATTTATGTAATCTTAAATAGTTTTTGTTTATTTCTTTTGAATATTTCATTAAAAAGAATTTATGAAGATCTTAGATGTGAACATAATCTCTAACATTTATATGACCGCTCTGAGATTAACTTGTTGATATAAATAGTTTTATAGAATTAATTTATAGTGTTTTGTGTTTTTTTATTTATTTTATACATCTATCCATATTTGCAGTCTAATTATATTATGCATCCTGATTTTATGATCTTTTTATCGTTTCTTACCGGTTACCTATTGTTTGATTTATTATAGTTTCAGGTTGTTACTCATTCTGAAATCGAATTGTATGTATTTGCTTGTATTTTATTTGTTTGTTCCTATTTATAGAGGAAACAATCTTAGAGTTATATAACGAGAGAGGAGAGGATTCCCAAGGATTCTCATAAAGCAAGCAGTTTAACATAAAAAAAAAAACTAACCATAATCCTTTACAATGTTTTATATTGCGGCCACCCCAAGTGAAAGTGGGAAAATGAATGTTATGCTGGTTGTGAAAATGACTTAAGTATATATTTTTAGCAAAATACGTCACCTTATAGGTTTCTATTAGTATAACAACAGTAGTTTTTGTAATTCCATATGCAAATAGAGGGGTGTTAAAAGTTTGACGTGTCTGTGTGCCTGTAATATAATAGCTCCCAAACGAATGGACCGATTATGATGCGGTATTTTTGTTTGATGCTGACGTGATCGAGATGGTCTTAGCTATAATTTGTAAAGAGTATCAGCCTTTTTCTTAGTTGATTAAAAAATCTCAAAATCTTACACAACTTCGATTGATTTGAAATATGGTGCACTCTTACTTTAGGGGTAACTGGTGCTGCAGCCAAACCTTTGGTTGATGTTGGTGTCGGGGTATTCTATATTTTCAAATTTGTGTTTTTAACATCTTAGGTTCTCTTCTGGTGATAATTACACAATATGAAAAACAAACGTGGACGAAATTTTGCAACACAAGATTGATAGTGAATGTAATATTTAAGTATTTATTGTTCTTAAAGCCCTTGCGACGCGACGATTGTATTGATTATAGTAATACCCTTACATAACAGCTCTGTTGAAATGTTGCGCATGTCTTCTAAAATCTGGTTCAAATTTAGTACTCGAGATTGCAATTACTTAGTAAAAACTAAGTGTACATAATAATACATCATTAATATTCCATTTTCAGAAAGTCAGTTTCAGAAATTACATTTGATACTTTAAGACTACTGAACTATGAAAGAACAGTCTCTGCGTGAGTAAAAATTTAGAAAAATAGTAATTTTAATGTGAGGCTTATATGTACATATTTATAGATAAATTTACGAAAGAAGTCTACTTGTATATTGGAGTACAAATAGGACTTGTATCGAAAATAGTACTTGTGCTAGAGAATGGAGAGTGAATGTAGAGAATGTGGAAACGAAGGGCATCGATTCTCGCCTGTGCCATTTTGGTCGCCTTTTTTGTTGACCTAAAAATTATTCTTAATTTTGATATGTGTACTTAAAACATTATCAATTAATGATTTAACAAAAAAATCAACAACTATCATTATTTTTTCTTTCGCCTGTGTTTTTCGATGCTATTTTGATGCATCTAAGTAAGTAAGTAAGAACCTTGAGATTTACTAAATCTTAAGATTTTAGGTAACTTACAAATATGAATATCAAAATGCGGCCAGTTAGTTTATATTTTGATAGCGTAGGTTTATCGACTTGTTTTGAAGAAACGTGGCATTTAACACTAGAAAGGGTGCACTCCACTCTGGATTGTTATTGATTGATTTTTTTGTATGGATAAGTCAAACGAGCAATTGGGTCACCTGATGAAAAGCGACTACCCTCGCCCATGGACGCCTGCAACTCAGGAGTCACAAGCGCGTCGCGGTCTCGAAATGGCGCAGACGATAACTTGTTCAACAGATTGTTTGTGTGAGGCAAAAAGTATCTTGAAAAGCGTACAGTGCTAAATTGCCAAGTATCTGAGTGGTTTTCAATTCTTATAGAAATACAAGATCCTGGTAGCACTGGTCATTCGTGTTCGACACAAGGACGGTGTTGCTTTCATTCTAGGATCAAGGACAGACAAACTAGGAAACGTGCTAAAGGTGTAAAATACCTATTTGCTTAGAGCATCAAATAAAAACAGAATAAAAAGTACAAAGTGTTTAAACTATAACTAATTTTATGAAATCTTAACTTCCTAATTATTTATGTAAAAGAATATTTTATTACCATTTATTTTATTTCAGTGCTAGATAGTGTTGGGTTCTAATCTAACGTTAATTTAACATGATACCTTTAATGCGTTCTTAGACTATACAACTTAGCGACTTGTTCCGTTTTTTACTCTCGTTTTTTAAACTTGAGAAAAGAAGCAAGCAATTTTTTGATACATGCACTTAAAATAATTGGACAGTAAAACAGACTTTATGTTTCTTTTTCCTACATAAGGTTGCAGCTTACAAATAATAGCTAATTCTTTATTAGGTGGTTTCTAAAGTGAAGACCTACACATAGCACCAAGTTATAGCGAAGCAAGCCTTACCATGTGCGTTTTACTAAATTAAAGTTCTGAATAATGTGCGATGATCTAGGTAAGTAAGTAGGTAAGTGCTTGTTTTGTAATTAGGGTCCATAGTAAGACCGCTGCTTACATTTATCAGCGTGGGCTTAAACAGGGAAAGTGCGGTTCCCTGTCGCGCTCTAGTTCTACTTTATATTATTTATTTCGAGATAGTCAGATATACATATATTTTATGACTAAGTTAGGTGACTGTTATGTAAAGACCATAAGCGTTTTAAAATTGGGAATAATTCAGTTCAGTCTAGTCGAGTATTTCACTTCCTGACGTGAAAAGTAGGGCTTTGATCGTTTGCTATAAATAATGTCTAGGTACTTGGTTTTGTCATCGCCAAACTGGTTCAATGCTGTAATTTACAGCAAGTACTTGAGAGTTTCCTTAATAGACTATTTAGAGAGTATTTAGATTAAAAGAGTGTTAAGGAATGTATACTATATATAAAATCAAATTGTAGTCCATTTAATAATCGTTTTACAAGCTACAAACATTACTTTAAATAATTAATTTTAATTAATGTTGCTAGTAGTGTTAATGCTGCTACTTGTATTTTACTATAATATAACACTTGTATGTCGTTTCATTCAAGTTTGTACACGAATCTATGAATTTTGCAATTAGTAAATACTGTGCATCATGATGCAATTTCTAATTTAAACTACACTAAATGGTTAACAAGCTATACTAATAAGCAATTCAAACGTTTTACGTTAAGGAATAAGCATGTTTTTACTTGTACATCGTTATAATAGATTATAACGAAGCGACGTAAGGTAATCTCACGATACAAGAGTGATGTTTTACGTATATATGCATATGAAGGCGAATAATTACAAAACGTTTAAGGTTTAGTTCAAACCGTGGTTTTGAATTGTTTTAAATTAAACGCCTCTAACTTAATAAGCATCTTAACTTAGATATATAAAAAAAACATCATCCAATGTGTTTAATCAAGATGACTTTGCCTGGATAACCATTTTACACTCGGATTTTGAAATAAGTATTCGCCGTACTAAATAAATCGTTCCCAAATAAACGATTTCATGTAAAATTTTCATTTCATGTAAAAAATACTGTACAAGTACGAGACTGACTTTGCCACCATATGTGGGTGGACGTCAAAGTCAATTTTCCAAGTGAAAATATAAGTTTGTTATGACAAAAATTTATGATTACGGACCTTACCTTAAAAAACAAAACAAACTTCGACATTTTAATTCTTTACTCATCCTGTAAGTCATTTTATTTTATTAATTTTCATGATTCTAGATCAAGGCGAAGTACCTTATCTGTTGATACTGATTTTACTGCGATATGTTTGATCTAGAAGCTTGATTTTTTACAGTTGCATAGGACATCAGACAAGTATTATTTGATGGTAATTTAACTTGATATCTCTACAAACTATCAAAGGCAATTAAGGTTCATTTTTTATTTTGGAAGGAATCCAAAAGAACAATAACATCAAGTAACAACAACTGTTATTGTACCATTTATTATTTTAACCTATGTTACTTTACGACAATTGAACCTACGGGGGGTACCGATGGCCAAGAAATGTGAAGGACGAATAGACAATTAATCAGTAATACATAAAACAATTTAGAACCACACGATTCATATCGATAGCATAGAAATAGAATAAACTGTAGATAATCGAATGTTAGATGAAAACATCATTTTAACAGCATCTAAATAGTTTTTAGAGTTATGTATAGGGCTAAAGTCGACAAGGAAATTGAATACGAATATTTTTTTCCTACGAGCCTTTTTCAACAAGGTTGGGGTCGACTTTGAGTCTACTAATATACAGCTTAACTTCAAGTTCTTACGCGGAGCGACTCCCATCAAACCTGCACTAGTAAGCGATATTGAAGTTACGTAGAAAGACTGAAAGAATACCTCATTTGGAAACACTAAAACGAGCTTCAAGATCAAAGGCTCATTTGACATTAAAAAAAAAACAAAGAAATACTTCACACTTCCAAGGAATTTAATTTTCTATTAAACATGATTCTCATAATATGAAAAAGACAATAACAAAGGTCAGTTTTACTTAGTAATTATTAGTCCATAGTGTATAAACTATTACAAATAATAAAATACACACATAAATTTAGTTTCGACAATACTGATGTAAATAATTACCTTTGTGTAACAGTTATTATGGCATGCAAATCATTGTCAGACACATGCGTAAGTTGTTTGTGCAATCTCTTACACAAAGTGCTCTAAAATCTGAGTCTTACAATTGAATGTTTACTTAAACATCTTACTGGCTTGCATGACTCCCGCTGCGTTCTTAGAATAATTAATTTGTTTATATTTCTATGTCTTTTATTTTATTAAGAATAAGATTAAGAATAACTATACATTGAATTATTATTACTAGTTGTATAAACTAACAAAATTCAAACTCAAAATGTCTTTATTTCATTTAAAAATGTTGGAAATCATCTTCTATGTAGACTCTAAAGTCATAGATCAACACAGCACAATAGCAACAATCTCTGTTTTATGAAATATTTATCTGAAATAAATATAATAAAATAATACTTTTCGAAAATCTATTATACGCCTGTTCCGATCTACAACGACCCTTGTCTATGTAATTACATTCCTCAACAGCCTTTTGTAATCCACTGGCTGGACATAGGCCTCTCTTTAGAAAGGAGGTTAGTACATTACTTACAAAATAAATTTTAAAATATTCAAATGCACTAAATGTATACTTCCAAATTTAATTGTTATATCATTTTCTATTACCTAAGTGAGTATGTCCCTATTTTTTTCGCATTGGCCAGAAGTAGAACATAGGTGAAGGCTGAACTTTTTGCGTTGTGTTGGTATAACACTGATATACTCGTTGTATCTTCCTCCTAACGACATGCGACACAAAGAATGCTGCCCTAATGACCAACAACGTCTTTGGCAAAAAAATGACTGTGGTAAGTTTAAACTGCTTTTATTACAACTACCTACCTACCTGAATGCCATTGACCGAACTTGATTGTACAGACACATTATCCATCTCATCATTCTTTCTATTTATGGTAGGTTCTCATTAAATTAAAAGGCGTTTATGTTTCATAATTTTTATTTATACGTTTACATTGCGTTTTTTTCTTATGTAGCTGTTGAATCAAGAACGTAAAATACTAAGGACGTAAGTATAAATTATTACAAACATTATTACATATGTCTTTATAACCGTGTCACAGAAGTGTATATCTGCGATGATTATATCGACGTCAATGTTCTTTTAGTTATTTACCGCTTTAAATATTTAAGTTGTTTTCATAATCTTTTTGTTTTATTCATGCACTTTTAATTTAGGCGAAACCCCAGTTTTACAAATTCTCTCTTAGTGTTAACGTCCCCGTTTGGCGTTTTTGTTTTATAACGCTCGGTCACTTGGTCTTATAACTAAGCAGTACATTTCTGAACTAATAATACCATGTGGTTAGAGAGAAGACTTTTAAGTAAAAGATAATAGTAGGAACTTTTGTTAATGTTGTAATTGTTGGTGGTGGGGTAAACACATTTAATGCGAATTCTTACTATATTAATTAACAGCTCCAAGGATGATTCTTGTGGCTCTGTCACTAAATAGTAATAATACCCATCGCAGGTTTCTGTGATGTCTAAGAATTTGTATTTTGGAGGTCTAACCTTAGTGTGACCAGTTGACAAATCGAAATTTAAAAGGATTAAAGCAATAGTACCTGGATGACCGAGCTTTTACTCGTTTTTTTTTTTGGTAAATTTTCTAAAAATTAGAACTCAAAGATCGATAAATCGCCCCCGAAACCCTTTGCATACTAAATTTCATAAAAATCTTTGGAGCCAATTTTGCGATTCAGATTATATATATTTATATATATAGGTACTAGATTAGATAAATGCCCATTTCAAAACACCTAGGCATAATTTCATTTATTTTACATGTCCTCCTAAGAGGTTATTGGCGGGATACTACTTTTATTACTTATAAATTAAAACTAAATCTCTTTACAGTGAGTCCTATTTTGTAATAAAATCATAATGACTCAAAAACGACTGTTCCTATTCTAATGATACTTAATTTAATCGACAACACATCTGTACACAGCTGTACTGACATCTATTAGTAGAGTTCAACAACTTTTATAAGTGCTGCCATCCTACGATAGCTGCAGTAAGTATTTTGAAATGCAACATTAATCTTTGAAAGCAATTGAGTGTTGATAGTGTTCAAGTAGAGATGGTGCTACTGTAGCATGATACCACAAACAAAATTTTCTTTAATTTAATTTATTTAGTGAAAGTCAACAAGTATTATTTAAAATTTAACAAGTAAAATGTACATGACTTATTTACAAACTATTTAACTTAACAGGAAATATTATTGAATTACATAATAATATTTGGTAGTATAAAATGATGACGCCACCTCAGAATCGCTATTTTCCTTTTCGTTGAGGTTTTGGATTTCGTTTTCTGTTGATAATTCCTTTGCAGGCGAAATGTTAGAATTCTGATCCATTGATACAGAGTTTAGGGGTTCCGCGTTAACTTTTTCGTCATTGCTATTATCTGGTATCACTGGATCTACAGCAGGCAGTACCTGAATAGGAATGGTCTCCGTTACATCTACTTGCATCGCAAGTTTTTCGTCTTTACGAGCAGTATCTTTAATTTCTTCTTTTTCTTTCATTGGTTCTATAGCCAAAAGCTTATCTTCGGAGTCTATCATGACCATTTTGACATCTTTGTTATTAACAGCAGTTTCTTCATGTACCGGTTTACTGATTTTGTGGTCGGACATTTTGATTTCCTGATACTGGTAATCTTTTCCAGGAAAGTAATGATTAATCTTAACATTGTGCCCTACTGGATAAAAAAATTGTGTATGGCCAGAAACTGAAACTGCGTGATCACCATGGTTGTTAATTATTCTGCTCACTACTGCATTAAACCTAGAACGGAAAACTATCATGTTATAATACGGGTATTCATATCCTCTTTAGTGTGAGATAGCCAGAGTATAACAATTTAATTAGTGGCGTGTGACAATAATAAAGATATTTATTAATTTAGCAAAACTAAGAAATTGATAATTACTTAAATTTTGTAACGAAAGTGGTTGATTAAATACTACCTACTTCCAATAACGTTAATTCCAAAACATTATTGTTATTTCTGGCCTGGAACTTTTAACAAAGAAATGACCTGTATTCTCGATGTGCCAAATTTATCTTTATGAAACTTAGATTCTTATGAGTTCCTCCAGTTATTTACTAGCAAAGACATATCCTAGTTGTAGTGTTTAAACATGATCTTCGATGAGGTCAAGGTGATTTTTCGGTCACAGTTTGGAACACATACCACTACCATATAGACCTCTTAAATTGATGTAGATCGATTACAGTACGACCCCAAATGTACTATCACAAGATATATACATATATGGTTTTATAATGTATGTAATTATATTATATAATGTATAAAGTAAACTGAATATATTAATTTCAACCAAGATGCCAATCAATATAAAATACATTGATATGCTTAAAATAGATAATGTAAAACGAATTTGTGTATTATTGTCTGTGTAATATTTTGTTAACAATAAAAAAGGTGAATTATGGTCATGGTCGCACCACGGCCGTAGTGAACTGGTGTTAATGGTTTAATTACCCGTTATGATCGTCGGCAGTATATTGCACCTTCCGCAGTGAGCCGTCGGACTGAACAAGGCTGTATTCGCCACGAACTCGGTCTCCATCTCGAGCTTCGCTGTGATGTTTGTGATCGCCAGTATTTTTGTCTGATACTGAATATTCAAATTCATATTTGGGGTAGGCCTAGAATTTACATAATTTCAATTTAAAACTTAATTTAAGACTCAATTTAAGACATTATTATGAAGAATCATCTAAAAAAAACATATTTTTACTTTAATCTACAAAATATAAAGAAAGAGCCATATTTTAGTTTTGTTCTCTATACGCTACTCTACGTATAATTATTATATGGCAAGCTTTGTTCAAATTGTAATGTTTAAACAAGAGGATGCAAGAAATAGCTTTATGGGGAGAATTATAAGCTGTTTTATAAAGGTCTGGGTAATTTTAAAAATATTGGTTTATTTTCAAAGTGAAATTGATCGAGAATTTCTTTTCCTTTTAGATTATCAAAGTTCCAATTGAAATAAAACATTCAGTAAAATATATGGAACTTTTCCATACAAAAATAATTTACTGTACAATAGTTTTCATTAAACAAGTAAATTAGGTAGTATAGTTAGTGAATAGTAGTTACATTTTACCTTTTAAAAGGCTCTGTTCTAGTTAAGAAATGTAAACTAATTCGTGGTAAATAAATAAGAAATATTTTTATTATTTTGGTATGTAGGTCATAAGTCAATCACGCAGAAAAATAACCATATTTTTTAACATACATGTGAGAAATGTCACAGTTCTAGTGATTGATATGAATATATTTAAAAATATATACCTATTAGTATAATGACCATAAAGACACAATTAGCATTATTAGGTCACATTTTGCTCTCACAGAGACAATTTTCGCAACCTAACCTAACTAGATGATTGGTTGTGTAATTGTAAATTCTAATACCATACCTACTCAAGTAGAAATATGAAACTGTATCAATGTCCCTTTCTCCATCAAAGTATTTCGTCCTTGAATGTACTTACGTAAGGTTCGTATTTGTATCCGAATGCCTGAGGTGGGTGGTACATTTTGACCGTTTGCCATCCTTGTGAATTGGGTTTAATTAAATCCTTCTTGTATTTATCTGATGTATGAATAACAACTGCATTACTGACTTTCACGATATAAATAAATAATAATATCTGAAAATGATAAATTAAACATTGTTTAATTTTATTTTAAACTGTTAGGATGATATAAATATTACGAGAAGTTTCAGAATAGAAAATACAATATAAAAAATTAAATTACCTTTTCAAACATTTTAAGGCACTTAATTGAACGGTCTACAACGAAATCTTCTATTGGACTGTTGATCTAATGAACAAATATAAACCATTTTATACTTTTCTAATAGTTCTTACATAAATTTTGATAAAAAATATTATTGGTATACCTTTGTTAGGTTAAAGTAGGAAAGAATATGATGGACATAGACATTAATGGACAAGACTTTAATTTTAGTATATTTTCTTTTAAATGAAATTCACATATACTAGACATACACAACACTGATTTAATGTAAAAATTAACTCTTATAAAAAGACAAAAACCATAAACGGCAATAAATAATTAATCCGAATAAACAACGAAAAATTGCATTGTCTTATCCATATTCTGTCGTCATAACTTTAGGAGGTTATCGTATCATCAAAAATCTCTAATCAAAGGAGGCTTTGAGTTTATTTTTCTCGGTATCGGTATCGATTAGAGGAGAGTTGGAGCTCTCGGCAATGTTTCTTAGGTAATGATTTTTTAATAGGTAGTACATATTAATTTATTTAATTTGTTAAACGATTCGATACAAGAAATCGAATAAGTACCATTAAAATAGCTTTTACTGTAGCATCGTAGTTACATATTTTAGTTTTTTAAATGACTTGATGATAAGAATTTTTGAAACAAGGTTTACTTTGTTAAGCTGAAGAATGCTGATTAAAATAAACGTTATAAGAAAACTGCATAATAAATCTTTGAATTCTTAGTTGGCTATACGTTATCAGTTCTACAACTCTTCTATACTGATAACGTGGAGCTTAAAACCATTACTACTTCCTTAGCAAGCTCTCTTACTAATAAAGACCAAACACCACTGTACTATAAGTTTTCATTTTTTCATATATCAATTATTATAGGTATCAATTATCCCCAGTTTACCTCGTAGCATGTAGAATTTCACAAAAGAGAGAGGATTTCAACGCTGGTGTTATCGTACGCCATCGTTACAATTCAAAAGACTAGAAGAATTCGTTGTTAAAAGAGCTATCATTGTGTTTGTCTAACTTTAAACCAATATAAAAGAATGAGGTTTAATAACGATTGTGTGATTAAAAACTGGAGAAGCATTACTTAGCAGTTTTATTTTAGTAATTAAACAAAGTACTGTATTTTATGTATAGTTTTTTTATATATGTTATTAAGTCCAGTGTGCTTATTAAGATATTATTTGTTAAAATGTTAATTAGTTTGCATAAATAAACAAACCTGAAAAATTACTACTGATAGATGTCAGAGAGAGCAAAAATGCCAAAAAAATATTGTTTTAAGCTTTGAATGATCTAAAAAGGAATAGGTAAAACTCCATGAAAAAAATCTGCTGTGTACACGAAATTATTCGTTTATTGTTTCACATAAATAACAATAAAACCTAAAGCCATTTTGGTACCATGAGGGGTTTTCAACAAGTGGGTACAGGAGTAGCGGTGGATGCGGTGTTGTGTTGTGTACATAAAAAATAAAACTTACAAAGTGATGGCGTGTTCGATCGAACTATATAGCATCAAATCACTACAGAATGGAGGAAGTGGCGGCAGGAAACGGGAATAATTTGTAGCCCCAGTTTCTATTTAAAACTAAAAGGACACATAATTATATAGAACTATCATCAGACCTATCGTCCTGTCTGGTTCTGAAAGTTGGCCCATTAAGAAAGCGGATGAGAGTCGCGTGAACGTAACAGAAATGCGAATGCTGAGATGGATGTGTGGTGTGACTCTGATGGACAAGGTCAGGAATAAGTATATACGAGGGAGTCTGATAGTAGGCCACTCGATGAAAAGTTAGGAAGTAATAGGTTTTATTATTATGGATATGTCATGTGTGTGAGGAATGGAAGTTGAAGGGTACAAGGGAAGAGAGAGACCAAATAAAAGGTGGATGAACTGTGTGAGATAGGATATGGCTAAGAAGGAAATAAACAGTGAAATAACGAATGATAGAGGAGAATGGAAGAATAATAAATACAGCATACAGCGCCGACCACAAACAAAATTAGGATAAGGGTAGGCAAATGATGATGTGTAAAATAATCTTTCCTACATATCATTTTTTTATTTGCTGAGCATTGGAGTACTTTTCAAGGCAAAAAAAAAACAAACTCCAGACCTGAAACGGAGTCAGGCATGTTGGGTTGATCAAAATGGAAATAATTAATAATCGATTTCTTAACTGGCTTTAAGATTAGAAAGCGTTTTGGTAAGTATGCTATATTATGCTATGCTGTCTCGGTGGTGATAGTAAGTGGGAGCCACTCGTAAAGGCACGGCCGTAACGAGCACGAGGGTATCGGTGGGTGCGCTGTTATGTACTAAGGCGTTGAAACCGTTGTTGTCATCGGCAGTGTACTCGACAGTTCTCACGGATCCGTCAGCTTCTTGGAAGGAGTACGATCCTTTAACCACATCACCATCGCGGGTCTCTTGATGGGACAGTGTTATCACAGGTGTGGCTGTCAGCTACAATGTGTTTGTATTCGTATTTAAGATGAGGATCGAAGTCTTTATGTTGAGAAATTACCGCTGCGTGATGAGCTGCAATAACGGGTGTAGAATGGTAGACCATAGCAGCTGGAGCAGAATGGTAGGTGTAAGCAGCTGGAGCGGTGTGGTAAGCTACTGTAGCTGGAGCGGCGATGGCTATTTGTTTAGCAGGTTGATTGTGGCGGACGATTTTTTGTGAGGAAAGAGCCGCAGCCGGAGAGTATTGCACGGAGAAAGGAGAGCGTGGTAGGCAACAGAAGCGGCCTGGTTCTCAATAGGAGCGGCGAGACTTTGGTGTTGGTCGTAACGCACGAAGCTTTGAGACGAGACTGGCGAGCCCGAAGAGTAATAGATGGGCGATGCTGGAAGACAAGCTTGGGCTACCGCCACGAAAACGCACAAAGTCACCAATTGAAAATTAAAGAAAAATGTACCTTAGTAACTAGAGTAGCCAATCTTAAATACCAATTACTGAATAGTTACAATTACTGAATATTAGTAGAGTAACTTACTTAGTAATGGCTAATATTTCAACAAGCACAGGCTATTTCTTTCTTAAGTAAAAATGTGATGTGGGCTAGTGTGTTTTATATTTTTTATGTTTCACTTCATTTTATCTTAAATTCGTTTTGTTTTCTTAATCTTACTTCCCCTTCATTGTCTTTTCACCTTTTAGTCCTTAATAACGGACATACTGGCACAATGTTGTGGTATATTTAATAAGGCCATTGTATCTATCTGTGAACTGCAAAAGAGTGGCAATGAGTTTGTTTGCCCTTTGTTCTCATAAGGCTCAACCCCTTGGAGATGGTCGGTTGTAGATCGGCACAGACATATCATAGATTTTGTATAAGTTTCATCGTCATCATCAACAGCCTATAATAGTCCATTGCTGGACATAGGCCTCTCCTTAGAAAGGAGGTTTAATTTTTGTTAAATTAATTTGCTTACTATTTGACAAAACAGAGATTGTTGATTTTGTGTGTGTTGATCTATGAGTTTAGAGTCTACCTAAAAGACGATTTCGACGAAAAACTTTCACATCAGCACAGTTGATGTGTTTGTTGGTCGCGGATCTATCACTAACACTCGTAGATGTGATTGGTGGAATTATAAATTAGCCGAACTACCGAACCGAGAAGCTACCGGAAAGCTGGTAAGAAATTAAACCCTATGAAAAAGCATAACGTTACAGAAGCTTTGTACAATAATGCTCTCATAGCCAGGTCCAACTACAGAGCTGCTGTGGAAAAGTCCAAGGGAAACTACATTCAAAAACTTGTTGATAAACTCGATAGAGGAGGCCCGTGGTCACCTTTGTATCACGAATTTAAGGCAAATAGATTAATCGACCTTGCATATATACAGAACATCAAAATTAATTACAGATATACCACAGGAGTAGAATAAACAGCAGAATATCTTTTCGAATCACTTGTACCTGACCAGGAAATGACACTGATTATCATCTACAGATCAGGCAGTGGGCCATCGAACCACCACTCTCACCACTTCGTCTCCAATGTCTGACTTACCATCTTGAGACGAATTTATTAGTATCGTTAGATCCTTGCCGCTAAACAAGGCTTCGGATGATGATAAAATGATAAAAGAAGCTTGTAAACTTTTGGGTGACACGATTATGACTGTACGGGTGCGGACGGGCAACCGTGGTACACCAATTAGCACCCGTACGTGTAACACCGAAAGCCTATCTAAAATACAACCTAAGTACGTGTATCGAGCGGGCACCGTAATGAACCGAACAATACTAAATCCGTAGATTCCCTAGACCCTGCTGTGGGGATATTTATACATATATAGATAGTGCGGGAAGTCTGTTACCTGGAGACCTAGGGTAACAGACGGAGGCGTGAAGGGAGCGGGGTTTAGGAGACGATTTTCTTACTGCCGGCCGAGCAGACTCACAAAACCGATCTACTGACGGCTAAAGGTGTCTTGGTCGCAGTGAGAGGTGGGATAGGGTAATGAATCAAGGTCGGATTGGACAAAATGACTAATTTATTTACATAATAATACATCTTATATACTAAACTTACTCTAAGTACACATGGATGGCTATTTGTTTGTGTGCCATCCGTGTGTTGTGTTGATGCAGCTGCCTTAATCTCGGTCATGCCGAAATGTTGACAGTGCATCGATTTTACGCCGCACCACGTGTGACATATATGCTGTTGCTGGGTGATGCAATTATGTTCATGAATACACATTCTGGCGTCTCTCAGGAACGGCCTGAAGTTCGTACAGCTCAATCTTCTCTGTCACGATGTCTGCAGGTTTGTTGCTTACGGCATCCTTTGACGTTTGTACTGGACGTCGAACTGGTTGGTTGTAAATTGGGGTTAGTTTGGGTGGTGAACGCCGTTCAGGTTCTGTTGGTGGAAGCCGTGTAGGCGACGGTTTCTTGACCTGTTGGAGTCGTGCACTTCCCGTTGCCCATTACAGATTATTGAAACAACAGTACTATCTTTAACTATAAACAAC